TCCTGTAAAAAGACTCCATCACAGCAAGAAGCAATCAGTCTTGTGCCCCGTGGGTGCGGGGTGACCTTTTGGGGAGACAAAGCATCAACACGAAAGCATTTGTCTAAGCTCTTAAAGGCTTAAGGAGGCACATTGTCCGTCCAAGGGACAATACTTATATGGGGCAGTGGACATATGCCAAACACCCAGATTACCTATTAACAAAAACTCTTTAGGAGCTGGCCTCTGGGATTTCCTCAGGAAAGAGACCAAGTAGGAGGACAGGGATTATAAACACCGATTTAAAAACTTGCTTGTTACAGATTGGGGGCGGGGGGGGGGGGGGAGACAGATGAAAATAAAATATGCTGCTTTATGCTGAAAAGTCAAGTGTAGAAAAAAAGAATAAAGGTTACAATAACATTTCAGAAGAGAGATTCTCTTCTCTCAGTGAGTTAATTTCCCCCAGCTGACTCCCAAATGCTTCATACGATCCTTAAATTGCTGCTGATAGACTTCCCTTTGTTGGATATATTTCCATCTGCGGAGGCTTTTTGAGCAAACACACAGAGGTATAATAAAAAAATAACAACCTATAATGCATCCAATAACTTCTCCGTCACTTTCCGTTACTGAATAGTGTCACTGAATAATTATTCAGTTCAACATTGTCTGTACCAGCCACAAGGCCTGAAATTGCCTCACTATGCCATAGGAGTGCCCTGGCTGTCAACTCGACACAGAACGGTAACAAAGGAATTCAAGAGCATCTGCTTGTTCCTAGACTATTCTACAGTCTGTTTTTAGAAGTGGAATGATCTGTTTCGTAGGATGAGTGTAAAAGAGCTTCTGTTTTGAAGTTCATCATAAAAAGGGTGTATGCACACCTGTGCTACTAATGGATTTTGGTATTGCAGGAGAAGAAACCTGCATTTTGCTTTCTGCGTCTGTGACTGTAAGTTAAAGCTCTTTATTTGGTTGGCAGCTCTTTGGACTATTTTTTAATGCCTTCTCTGTGCAGAAAAGGGCACAGAGTACAGAAGAAAGAGGAGTAAGCAAGGGGTGAACAGCAGGCAGATTACAAGCAGAGAGGATTGGAACAGAAGGGAAGACTTTAAGAAAAGGATGAAGTAATGTTTTTTTTCTAAGGAAATCATGGGGAACTCCCACCTGCATTCAGAACTGTTGTCTCTGAAACCACTTGCTTACCTTCCATTTTTGGTCCCCTTTTTAGAACTCCACTTTCTTTTCCTATTCTAGAATCTTCAGTCTCATGTGCTTGCAAAAACTGGCTGATGACCCATTATTTCTGCAGCTGCTGCCTATATTTAAAGGACATGGTTCCCTTCCCTAAAGAATCCTGGGAATTGTAGTTCACCACTTAAGAATTGCAATTCAAGGCAACCTTTAAAAACTACAGTTCCCAGGATTCTTTGCAGAGCAGGCATGTGCTTCAAATGTATGGTGTGGGTGACTCAGGGCTCATCCACACTTCTGCTTTCCCCTGCCTAGAAAGCATGTGTCTGAATGGTTTTCTGCTTGTCTCGTGTTTTCTAGGCATGGGTCTGAGTGGTTTTCTGTTGGTCCCACTGTTTTCCCCAAGACAACCCACTCTTTAGCACTGATTTGGAGCAGGTGCCAATCTGCAGAAAACCCAATTACATTTGCTCCGATTCAGTGGTAAGGCTTGGGTTTCCCTGGGAGAAAGCAGCAAGGCAAGCAGAAGTCTGGATGAGTCCTCAGATATGGAAAAATAGGCATGATCTTTAACCTCTTTTTTCCAGTACAGCGGGACCTCTGGTTACGAACTTAATTCGTTCCAGAGGTCCGTTCTTAACCTGAAATCGGTCTTAACCTGAGGTACCACTTTAGCTACTGGGGCCTCCCACTGCCACCACGCGATTTCTGTTCTCATCCTGAGGTAAAGTTCTTTACCCGAGGTACTACTTCCAGATTAGCAGAGTCTGCAACCCGAAGTGTTTGTAACCCGAGGTACCACTGTACTACTAACCGCACAGCTTGTAGAGTGCATGTTTGCTCTGTTGACCGTTCTGCCACATGCAAAGTACATTTTCTTTGGTTCCTTCCAAATTCTGTATGGCTTTGTTAGTTTAGTTTAAACTTTAAATTCCAACCTGTCAGCATCTGATTCAGATGTGATTTGCATCCATCTCTCTGTTTTTGATTAAGCTTCAACAAATGCAGGGCAAGAGCGTATCAGGTCAGGGCTTCGGTGCAATTCCTGACAGCCTGCTGGCATCCTGTCTCATTTCAGAGAAGCTTCTTGAGTGCTTGTCATTTTTTCATATTCCAGAGAACAGTAAACTGCAAAGAACCTGAAAGGAGTACTACTGCATTTAGAGTGTTTTGAAGCCATCCACTAAGTTGCCCTCAAAGTTTGCAGGATGCATTGTTCATAAAATGATTCTTACAGTGATGAAAAATCATGTCATTAGATACCACATAGGGATCATAACAATATATAATAATTATTTGATTATGAATTTCCTTTTTGATAGTTACACACACACACACACACACACATATATATATGAATGAAATCTGTTCAGTATATTATCCTTTTACTGTCAAGCATCTGATGTGGTTTGTGGTTGCTGAAATTAGTCTTCAAAGTGCCACAAGACTCTGGGAATATATAGCAGTGACGTTACCTTATTTAATTCATATTATTTATGCACCCATAATCCTGCCAAGATACTGATACATACTGTTAGCATGCCTTTACCTGCTTTTACTAAATTCCATAATTAGCATTAATCAGCAGAGTCAAAACTTGTCAGGCCCAAATGTAAGTAGCTGCATATTCCTTGGACTAACATGAAGCAAAAAGAAAGTTTACCAGATAATGACTAGATGAAGAGATTATACATTTGCATTGCACTTTATAAAAGATCTTGAAAGCGATAGTAATCAAATTATGCATTTTCTTCAAAGCCTGGAAGGAATATTTTACACTGTTTATTCTAGGAATGAAACGTGTGGCTATAGCTGTACAACAACACTCTTCCTCCTTTTTATAAAAATAAAATGGGTTTTATCCAGTGATGCCTCTGTTCTAACAGAAAACGCTGTTGTGCAAGCCGCAAAGGTGAATTTTTGTGAGTCCTCCTACTCTAGTTGCCCCACAACAGACAAATGTTTGCAGAAACACTCAAATTACATTAGTGAGTCCCTGATGAAAGTTTCCACTGAAACACTTTTTAATCATTTTCTTAAAATTCTCCTTATATTTTTCCATACTATTTAAGAAGCGGTATGGGGCCTATCCAGTCTCAAAAACTCCTAGCAGCCCAAGCTAGCATGGCCAATGGTCAGGGATTATGGGAGTTGTCATCTCTGGAAAAAGAGGGAAGGTTTAAAAAGAAGAGAAAGATTAAACATGAACGTAGAGTATAACCAGGTGCTGAGTACAAGCATCCCTTCCTCTCAGCTTCTCAGAGGCATCTGACCTGTTGCTGTTGATAACAGGATGCGGGACGTGGCAGACCTTAGTAGTAGTGGCCCAGGACATTTTGCTGCCAGAGGCAGAGCAGCAAATAGCACCAGTGGCGTAGGGATGGGGGATGCTTCGCCCCGGGTGTCATGCCTAAGCGGGGGTGATGACATTGCCCTCCATGGATTGCTGATGCAACGATCCTCCCAGGGAGCAGGGCGATCTGCCCCCTGGGAGGATCGCCCCGCCCTTATATGCACTGCTCCGGGTGCACGACCACCTGGCTCCGCCACTGAATAGCACCTTCCCTCACAAGTCAATGTGGATAGTACCCAAGTCCCCTAGAGGCACTAGCAGTCATAAAAAAGATGCAACAACTAACAACTTGCTCTCCTTTCATGACACCCAAAGGGGGATGCTTGAGGTGGCCATCTTGCTTTGCCTAATGGCACGGCTGTCCCTGCTGGAGTTTGACCTGATCTACTAAGGCAGTTCCTGCATCTTTACATTCTAAACCTCACTTAACAAAAACTGATAGATTTTGAATCAGTCTGGGCATATGTGGACATATTGCAAAATTCAAATCTTGGGCTGTCATTATAAAGGTATATCTTGAAGCTGCACCCCATCCCAGAATAGGTTCAGTCATGCAAAGAGCATTGTGCATCATAGATGTGTTTTTAAGTAATATACGAGAGCTGGCTGGTTTTTCTGCTCTTACCAGCACAACATGCATGTTTTCACTTAATGGTAATCATCACCTTGACTGTGAGTGTCTTTTGTGTAGTACAAGGGACCATAATTTCCATATAGTTTGCTGGCATTAGCAGAGAGCATATTCTGCACTTCCAGGCAGAAATACTCTTTCTGGGAATGCCATAAATCTGAAGGACAGCAGCTTGTGGCGATTTGGTAATGGCAAACAGGGAGAATGAAACAGAGAACTGGATTTGTGTGTGTGTGTGTGTGTGTGTGTGTGTGTGTGTAGTTTTTGTATGAGCACTGTGGAATATGTTCTACTCATTTGCTACCGAGCAATATTCTTACCTTTTAAGTAAAAAGGAATTGCTTCTTACTCATGGCATATCTATACACATCTCTTTTTTAACATTTAAGAAATGTGTATTTGTTTGCCAGTTTAGTATTTGTTTTGTACATTTATATCCCACCTGTTTACAAAATGACACTCTAGTTGGGCATTAACAACCATGTACCTTAAAAAAAAATGTTTTCAGTCTTGTGTCCTGTTATGTACTGAGGTTCTCACCCTGGGCCAGCAGGGGGATACTGTAGATAGTTTTCACTCAGGTCCACATATGCAAATAAGGGATTGAAAGTGACGTTCAGTGATTGGATAGTTACAGAAAGTTGTTACAGTTGCGTTGTACTGGAGCTCTATATAAGCAGGCCGGCTGAACCCTTCGGTTCAGTTCTGTTCTGGCCTGTGAATAAACAAGAGCTGTTTGAAGAATCGCTGTGTCATCTGATTTGTTCACCCACAACTTAACATGTCCAATCCACATTGTCTCAGTGTTGTGCTTTTGTTAAATCAATAGCCCTTAAAAACACACACACACACACACACACACACACACACAATACTTTGCAATATTTTCTACCTGAAATAATGAGCTGTTTCCTTCAAACAGAACATCACAGACATTGCATGGAAAGTTGTGGGGTAGAGGGGTGTGTGTGTGTGTGTGTGTGTGAGTACACACATGTGTGCAATGAACATCTAATTGCAATGTGCAGTATGTAGTTATTTATATAATGGGAACTTAAATCATACAATTTGTGTCGTAATTAGTGGTCAGTGATACTAGTCCAAACCTTCATTCCAGGATCATTTTGCGAACATTTTATTTTAGTTCTTTTCTTTGAGGGATTTTGTTTCCCATGCCAGTTTTTTTAAATGTAATTTTTGTCAGTTGTATACTCTCCTGCTAATTCAGCTTCTGCCTAGAAACACAGTCAAAATTGTTGAATAATAGAGGGGGCAGGCACCTACACTATATCCCACTGTTAATATGATTTATTTTGTTGTTGTTGTGTTTTAAGATTTAAAAAATGATTTGGGGGCTGAGCATTCTCTCACTATATGTCTCCTGTGCAGAAGTTCACATCTTCTCCCATTTTTGAAAGCTGTGTCTGTGTGTGTGTGGACAGGAATATTCTTGTTAGTGGGAAGAAGAAGAAGGTGATTATTACAATAATTCAAAATCCCAGAGTTCAGTTGGCGTAGAACTTAAAAATGAATACTTTAAGAGTAACTCTTTTCATATCACATTCTCAGCCCACTTCAAGTGTCAATCCCAGGAAGGGGCATAATGGGTCAAGAAAGTCTGCCTGGTGTCTGCCTGACTTTTCAGACCAGACCCAAGGTTTAGAACTTTCCAGAGGAAGGTCTGTGTGCGTAGACCTCTCCACACAGCAGCTTTCTGTGCAAGTTTGGACCTGGATCATGTTGGGTTCTGCATGTGATGCACACAATTCACACATGAAGGGAGCTCTAGTTATAGTTAAGTGGATGTTGCTGGTAAGAACCAAGGGATGATTAATGCGAGCGCGGAAGGGAGTGATTCTGGAAACAGTAGCGGACAAAAGGAAAAGAACCATTTGAAAAATTGTAGGCAGGAAGAGAACACTACTGGAGACAAAAGGATTCCAAAGATAACGTAGGCTATATATATTTGCTTCACATGCACAGCAGTAGACTCTACAGTCTGAATAAAACTAATGAGCGCAAGAAAAACTCAGTCCTGCTGTTAACAACTTTTTCATTTCTCTTCCATTTTCCTTTTTCACTCTCATGCGCTGTCTATCTCCAGGTGATTTTTGAAAGCGTTCCTTTCACTCAGGAAGGAGCCCTTGAAATCTGCAACTATTTGCTGGTGAGTTTTGAGCTGTCAATGGCATGTAAAATACTACAGGAAAATACATCAGACAGCCATTAGGAACAATGTGTTGGGATACTGCCAGGGAGACAAAGTCCATCATGACTCCACGTCGTCTCCGTTGCGACCCATCGATCTCCCGTAGATACAGTATTAGCAATTAGTGACACGAGCTCCAGGAAATAGCTTGCCACATTCCAGAGCTGATGCACGCTCTATCAGCAGAATTCACATAGCGAAAGATGCACTCAGGAGAGCATATTTACAACTTTATTCAGCGTTGGTCAGAACAAAGAGAAAACATGACTGCCTGCTTCAGTGTCTCAGACACAGAGAGAGAACAAAAGCATAGACACAACAGAAACATCCTGTGAACACAAAATACGCAGGCTGTGACACAAACATCCTGCTCCCTTTTTAAGGTGGAACGGAAATATCCTAACATCCTCCCCCTTTCCGTGTAACCTGTAGTACCTGTGGTTCAACCCAATTGCAACCTCTGTACATAAACCTTAAGTTGTTCTCTGTTAACAACCTTAGACAACAGATCAGCAGGAATTTCATTACCTTCCATGTAGGACACCTGAATAAGTCCTTTCTGAATACACTCTCTTGCACGATGTAACTTAATCTGCAAGTACTTGGTTCTTTGCTTGCAACTCTCTGAGTTCAGCAAAGCCAAACAGGATCTATTGTCTTGATATAGGACATTTCACAGAAACTCTGATGTCCTTAAGCAGTTGCATCAACCATTCACAATCCATGAGTGAAAATGACAGAGCATTGAGTTCTGCTTCACAGGAACTTAGGCTTACTGTCGTTTGCTTCTTGCACAGCCAGTCAAACAGACAGTGGTTGTACATGTAGCATACTCCAGAAGTGCTTGTACCATCCGTGGTGTCACTTCCAAAACTAGCATCTGCAAAGATTTCAAGACCTCCAGTCTTCTGACTGGTGAACCTCAGTCTGTAGTGCAAAGTCCCTTTCAAATAGCGGGCTATGCGCTTCAGAGCTTTCCAATCCTGAACAGTAAGATTGTTAGCATGTCTGCTAAGCAGGTTAGTGCTTACAGCTATGTCAGGTCTTGAGCATCTAGCAATGAAATTCAACTTGCCTAGAATGCATCTGTACAGCGTAGTGTCAGAAAACGCTTCAGCAGTACTATCTACCTGGTAACCTGTCACCATCGGTGTGTCTGCTGGGTTTGCATCAACCACAATTCAACCTGGTTAATACATCAGCAATTTTCTGTGTTTGGTGTACCAGAAAATTACCTGCTTGGTCCCTCTCCACCTGCAGAGAAAGATAGTTGGATACCTCACCAAGATCCTTCATGTCAAAGTGCTCCTTCAGCTGAGCTAGGGTGCTTTGGTACAAAGCCTGATTCTTCCAAAACATCAGAAGATCATCAACAAAACATAAACAATACAGTTTGTTTTGCCCCTCCTCCTTGACAAACACACATGGATCAGCTTTGCCCTGGTGAAAACCTAGAGAAAGCAATGTCTCAGTGAGCTTTGTGTTCCAACACCTGGCAATCTGCTTGAGACCATATAAGGATTTCCGCAGTTTACAGACCATTCCCTTCTGTATCTGCATTCCATCAGGTGGAAGCATATACAGCTCCTCCCCCAAAACCCCGTACAAAAAAACTGTATTAATGTCATGATGGGAAACATGCAGTTTCTCCTCTGCAGCAAACTTGAGCATTAGCCAAATGCTCTCATACTTGACGGTGGGTGAGTAGGTCTCGTGGTAATCCTGTCCTGGTACCTGTGAAAAACCTCTGGCAACCAATCTGGCTTTGTGTCTGACAACCTTGCCATTCTGGTCTGTCTTGGCCTTCAAGACCCATTTGCTGCCAACCAGTCTCATTCCTGGGACTACCGGTACCAGTTCCCAAGTTTGGTTCCTATTCAAGGAATCAACTTCAGCCTTCATGGCATTAAGCCAAGGCTCAGCGTCTTTAGAGGTTAACTCCTGAACCTCTTTGAAGCTTGAAGGTTCCCACACCTTCTCTGAGCTACTAAGAACAGCAGTTGCCGTCTTAGCAAACTCATCAGCAAATCTCTTTGGAGGTTTGCCCTTTCAGATCTGCGTACTAGACGCAAGTCTTCTGGACTCATCTCCTCCTTCTTAGGAGAACAGTGGTTCTTCCAGTTCATTGTCAGACGCATCAGATGGTCTGACTGAGGCCTTTGCGCTCTTGTAGTCTGCTGTGTCATCACTGTCGCTGACATCAGCAGCAACGCCGCCCACTGAGCTGGAATCCGAACTCTGATCATCACCATCATCCTCAGCTTCCTCAGCTTCCTCAACATTATCTGCTTTTTTCACATCATCTTCATCTTCCTCTGGGTAACTCTGGAAAATTCCCACATTTCCCCCCCACTTAGGATTGTACTTAACACTCTTTGTGAACTTAATGGACTTAGAATCAGTCATCCATACCCTGTATGCACCTTTTTCGTACCCCATGAACAAACCATGTGCCCCACGCTTCCCAAGCTTGTTGCTCTGTGGGGTGTGTACCCACATGTCAGAACCAAAGATTCTCATGTGCTTGACATAAGGTTGCTTACCAAACATCTTCTCATAGGGAGTACAACCAATAGGTGATGACAATCTGCGATTATAAGTGTAAACAAAAGTGGACAGAGCCTCCCCCCAATACTTCTCAGGGAGGTTGGCATCATGCAACAAGGTTTTTAGGCCTTGAAGCAAAGTTTGGTTTGCTCGCTCAGCAAGTCCATTCATCCATGGCGATCTAGGCATTGACAAGTCATGCTGGATTCTCTTCTCAGTCAGGAAAGCTTCAAACTGCTGAGAAGTGAATTCCCCACCTCGGTCAGTAAAGAGACAGCCGATACGTTTACTGTGAACATTCTCCAACCAAGCACAGAATGCCTTGAACCTAGGAAATGCTTGCAATTTCTGCTCGAGCATAAACACATGAATGTACCTGGAAAAATAATCAATTAGAACCATGAAGTACCTTGTTCCACCCAAAGAGGGCGCAAGTGGACCAACCAGGTCTGCGTGGACTAGCTGGTAGGGTTTGGAAGCCTGCCTGCTGGACTCCTTGCCTTTTGGAGCAACCTTCACCTTGTTTTCTGCACAAGATACACATTTCATGTGAAACTTACAGGGTTTGATGTTCAAACCCTGAACCAATCCAGGCATCTTGGCCAGCGCCTGCCAAGACATGTGACAAAATCTTCGATGTGCCTCGTGAATGCATCCTGCATGAAGAACTTTGTTAGTTTGTGCAACACAACAAGAATCAACATTAGACACAACAGCACCATTGTCATCATAAGTTATACAGAACAAACCATCTATAAACTTTGCATGCAAAATGTCCTCTTTGCCTTTCCTGATGACACAGACGCTCCTCTTGAAGGAAATCTCAAAACCACGCCCAGTCAGCTGTGGGACACTGAGCAAATTGTCTGCAGCACCTGGAACATAAAGTACATCTTTGTTTTTTTTTTTATAAAATATTTATTGGTTTTACAAGAAAAATTTCCAAAAAAAAATACAAAATACAAAATTACAAAAGTTCAACAAACAAAAAACAACAATAACCATTGACAAAAAACAAACAGAAATAACAGTATCCATAACAAAAAAAGAAAAAGGAAAAAAGGAAAAAGAGACAAAGAAATTCAAAGAATATTATACTTTCATTTATCCTTCTTATCTTTACCTGGTTCTTTGACTCCCCACACCTCCCCGCTTGTATTTCCATTTAAGAACTCCTTTCAGCAAATCCTTACCCTCCTTTCATTATCTTAACTCAGAAAACTTAATCTATT